GCGGGGGGCTCCGACCCCCTGGTAGGGAAGCCCAGGCCCCTCGAGGGGAGCGGTTCTCTTGGGGAGACACAGGGGCGTCGGTCCCCGCGGTTGGGGTCCTCGGTTCCCTTGTGGGGGCTCCGATCGCTCTTGTAAGGGCCCTCAGTGCTATTGAGGAGGATACGGAGAGGCCCTTGTTGTGGTCCCAAATAATTTTTTTTGGGGGGAGGGCTGCGACAGCCTTAGGGAGTATGTGATCTCATAACCGTGTAGGGTTCCTCAGTTCCCTTGTGGGGGTAAAGGGCTGGCCCAGATTGCCCTTGTAAGTGTCCCCTTTCTCCCTGTGGGGCTCTGACATTATCTGTGAGGTGTGAACCTTCTAGGGAGGATACTGGCCTCACTTGCTGGGAGCACAGGGAGCCCTGACTCTTTTTAGGGGACCGTTGGAAAAGGCCCTTATCCTCCTTTGAGGATCCCCAGTCTTTGTATGGACCACGATCCCTTTGAGGGCAGATTGGTGGGACCTGGTGGGTTCCTAATTGCTGAGGGTGGGGTGATCCCTGTGGGATCACCCATGGGAGAAGTCCTCATCCACTCTGGAGAAAGTGTGTTGGCCCTGGTTCATATTTGGGGATGTTCAGTTGCCTGCAGAGTGACTGATCAGCCCAGGGTGAGGGGGAGCACAGGCTGGCCCCAAAACCCCTGGAAGGGTGACTCTCTCGCACACAGCTCGAGGGGTCAGTAGGTTTAAGAATTAGGTGGCTCCTGTCCACCTTGGAGGGGAGTTGAGGAGGGTGGCCATGATTTCCTTTGGGGACAGGGTAAATGTGGCAACATGCCCAAGGGAATGTGTGTCTGGAGCTCTCTGATGTCTCTTTTCATAGAATCACAGAATAGTTTGGGGTGGAAGGGATCTTAAAGCTCATGCAGTTTCACCCCCCACTGCAATGAGCAGGTTGCTCAAAGTCCCATCCAACCTGGCCTTGAACACTTCCAGGAGTGGGGCATCTACCACCTCTCTGGGCAACCTGTGCCAGTGCCTCACCACCCTCATTGTAAAAAAAATTTCTCCCTTGGTATCTGGTCTAAATCTACTCTCTTTTAGTTTAAAATCATTACCTCTGGTCCTGTTGCTACAAGCCCTGCTAAAAAGTTTCTACCCATCTTTCTTATAAGTGCCGTTTAAGTATTGAAAGGCTGCTCTAAGGTCTCCCCGGAGCCTTCTCTTCTCCAGGCTGAACAACCCCAACCCTCTCAGCCTGTCCTCATAGCAGAGGTGCTCCAGCCCTCGGATCATCTTCGTGGCCTTCTCTGGACTCGCTCCAACAGGTCCCTGTTCTTCTTGTACTGAGGACTCCCTTCTGATTCTGGCTCAGTTTCTTCCCTTTTTCTCTTTTTATGAAGAGGTAATTTTTTTCTGAAGCTTTCCCCTCTTCTTTTCACTGATCTATTCACTTGGGCCCAGATGCCTCTGGGATGTGAGTGTCCTCTTCCTCCTATTTCTACCAGAGTTGTGCATCAAAAGTACCTCCACTTGGGTTAACTGTGCTTTTAGTTTTCCGTCTTGCTGATGTTTGTCTCGTTCTTCAGCTGTTTCTGCCCCCTTCTCCCTTTCACCCAAGAAGTTCAAATCTTATTCTCTTCGCAGTGGTACAAGCAAAAAAGCTTCACTGCTTTACAACCAGATCATTTTATAAGGGGGGACGGGGCTCCCATGGAATGAAATTTACTGTAGATATAATCATGTTGTGATGAAGGATGTTATGATGATATTATACAAAAAAAGGACATGGTCAGATGTCCTATGTCTGGGTGCTTTTTTGGGACTTCCGATGGCTTCAGCCCTGTGCCAGAGGTGTCCAGACTATCACAGTCCGTAGCTTGAGTGCTCCGAGGACACTGTCCCCTCCTTGCACACATTTGGCGTCAGTGATGGTCAAGTAGGGAGCCAGCAAACATTTCCAGTGCTCTTGCACAAGCACTGGAATGGGTCCTGGGTGGACCTGGGTGGTGCCACGTCTATCCCATTCCACAAGGGATGAAGAGGACTGTCGGAATGTCCTGTCTCATAACCCCTTTCACAGCTTGTCTTGAGGCTCTTTGCCCCAGGAAGAGTTTTGTTTCTGGATTGCCCAGTCAGGAGGAAGAACCACCCTGTGTAGGCTATGGCTGAGTTAAGGTGTTTTCTGTGGAGCCTCTGAGAAATTTCACTTATAAAACATTATTTTGAATGCTCTTCAGCTGTGTGAGTGTTGCCAATTGAGACAAAGACAGACAAAGTATTTATTTTTATTTTATAGAATGGCTTTAAATGTCATTGCATGTCTGAGTCCCACCAGAGGCAGTTGCTGCTGGCTTCTGAAAATCCTCAGCAATTCATGGATTACTTTTCTGAGTAAGTTTGCTGTATACCCAGGTCTTCATTCCTGTATCATATCTGCGCAGCCATACCTCTAAGGCCCGATCGTGTCTCAATGAAGACACTTTATTTATACATTTCAGTGTCAGCTCTTTTTTTAATGGCAATTTGAAAATTTAGGCAATGTCACTTTGGAATGCATGGAAGAGGTTTCAGGGAGCCATGATGTTTAATCAAATTTGACAGTTTTATCCCGTGTCTGAGTCCCATTTTAAGTTACTCTGTGTTACAGAGTACGTCACCGTTCTGCCTCAGCTAAGTGACTGCCACGCACACAGAGTTCCAGAAACCTAAGAGAACCATTATGGAGAGATAACAAGTCAGGGATGCAACTGACGTCCCACAGTTTCCCCCAGTCCTTTGTCTAGCTGACCTGCATCACAGCTGGGTTGACTGGAGCTGTCTTCAGCGTGAGTCTGAAGCGAGGTTTGATACTCAAGCCCTTGAATTAGCAGGGAGATGAGTGATCAGTCTACCCCATCCACCACGGCTGCCCTTTGTCCTGCCCTCTGTTTTGTGTCAGTCAAACTGGGAAGATACCTGGTAATGAAATACCAGCAATTAGTGGGAAATGTTTGGATTTTGTTCTTTCCATTTTATCCTTTTGAAAGGGTATTATACTTTTGAAGATTTAAGTGGTGTGTGCGTGTACCATATTGTGTTTCTTTGTGCATACATGATGCATTTAATGCTAATCAAAAAGTAAAATGAATGTCTGAATTACATTATGGTCAGTTCAAAAGAATACTTCTTTTTATACTGCAGATATTTCATTGTTTATAACAATAGAAAATTACTTTAATCATTAAAGTTTTACTAAAATACTTTCTTTTTATTCCCTGAGGGAGTTCCGAAATGATTTCCTAGAACTGCTCAGGAGGCGATTTGGTAAATATTTTACTGTTTGTGTCCTTGTTTGTTTGTTTGTTTTTAATGTCTTTTATTAGTTCAGTGCAAGAAGTTTTGGTTGCTTTCTCCTAGGTCCCATATTTATATTTAATAATTCTCTATTTCAGGAACAAAGAGAGTCCACAATAATATTGTGTACAATGAATATATCAGTCATCGAGAACACATCCATATGAATGCCACACAGTGGGAGACACTGACTGATTTTACTAAATGGCTGGGCAGAGAAGGTAAATGTAGTTGCTCAGGGTTGGGAAGTTTTAAAATTATCGGGTAATTGCATTGCTGATAAGTGATCAGTAAACATTTATGTTAGTTTTCCCGTTTCCTTTTTCTTTCTACCCCTTCCCTCCTGTATATATATTAACAGATGTCCAAACACATTTCTGTGCTAACCACTAGGAGTTTGCTTATGAAAAATGTCAGAAGTCTGGGATAAATGCACCAGTCAAGAACCTTTCCTTGTTTCATCTGCTGGTCTATATTTACGGGAGATCTTGCTAAATTCTAAATCAACTTCTAACAATTGCCATTTAAAAATTAAAAACTATGATAGAACATTTCTTATGACTACAGAATCCTTCCATATTTAAGGTGACAAGAAGCGAGCAGTCGTTTTCATTCCTGGCCTAGTGAAAGGGTTAAAGCTTGAGATCTGCAGGTTTGTGTTTAGTGCAGGGAAGAGAGGTTAAATAACAGAAAGTTTACTTTGGCTCTGATTGCCTGTGTCCTACAGGATACATTCATGAGTCATATAGTGTTTGAAAAGTCACTCTAGTGAGAGTTAGTAACAATAATATACAATAGTAAAGTTTTCTTTAGTATGATGCTATTAGTGTGTACTGTTTATATATGTTAGATTTCTGTTTTCTTCCTTGTTAAAACGGTGGGAAGGAAACATTTTCTTCAATAAGGAAAGTATTGTAAAACACTCTGTCCACTTTATTATGTACTCTGGCCTATTTCCAAACAGAACCAGCTAGCTGAAGGGCAGAAACAGATACAAAAGATAATTCAAAATCAATTTTACCAGGCCAGGAAGGGGTACGTTATCTCTGGTAAAGTATCTGCGTTGTTATAGTGAACATGGACTGTGAAAGTGATGTTGATCTTTTCTTTGTCCCTTGCTTGCTTTTGTGAGTATTAATTTTACTTTATTTTGCATTGACTTTTTAGGTCTCTGCAAGGTTGATGAGACTCCAAAAGGCTGGTATATTCAATATATTGATAGGGACCCAGAGACTATTCGCAGGCAACAAGAACAAGAGAGGAAGAAGAAACAGGACCTTGATGATGAAGAAAAAACTGCTAAATTCATCGAACAGCAAGTTAGAAGAGGTTTGGAGGGGAAAGAGCTGGTGAGGAAAATTGTACTGTATGTCAACCTTCAGCTCAAACCTCCTCTTGGTTAAATTAGTGGTGAATTCAGCACTGCTAGGATCTGTGCACTGGTATTTCCGTTGCAGTCAGTTAGAAGGTGACGAGTAAGCCTCATGCTTCAGGTTGCTAGCTCATCAGCAGTTCAGATAAAGGAACAGTGGGCATATCTGGCTGCATTGATGTTCTTTTTTTTAAGCCACAAGGATTAGTCTTCTCCCAGATACCTTTGATAGCAGCCTTGACTAACTTCTTTCTGTTGAAATTGCAACTTCATGCATTTCCTTGACCAACTAACTCGGTGGTAGTTTTTACAGCTGATGAACATCAAGGTCCTCTATGGAATCACAGTTTCAATAAATAAATAAATAAATAAATAAATGGAAGCAGAGGTTTCAGCTCCTTTTAGATTTGATGTGGTTTTTAAAATCTACTAGATTTGTATCCTGTGGCCCTGGTGTCTGATTCTGGCCATTTCAGACTTTTATTTAGACTGTCATCTTCCATACTTGAATCACCACATCAGTTCACTTACGTTCTGAATTTTCTGCTATACAGTTTTCTTAGATTATAACCTGCTCTGGAGGAGAACTTGGAGTTACTTTGTACCTGCCTTGCTTTAGTACTAAAGGAATAATAATTAGTGAATAGTGAATCTACCTGATGTAAGTCTTTCTAAAGCTCGTGAATTTAATTTAGTAGATTTGGCCTCATTCCGTGACTTTCGTACACATTATTGCCTGGGACTGGAACCTCCCAGTTGATCCTGGGTATTGATAGGTACATTTAAGTGCTGTTGTAAACAATTATCTTTTTCTTAATTTAAAACTAATTGAAATTTAAATGGTCTGAGCCTTCAGTGCTAAAAATTTGGAAATATTCCAGAATTTCCTTCTTTGAGTTATCAGTCTGTCCAGAAACCAGTCTAATCATGCTGGTTCAAATAGAGAAAACTACTACAGTAAGGCCACTTTCCTTTCATGTTGGAATCAAGCAAGTTTAGACAGCATCTCAGCAAAGAATGTTAATTAGAGAATTTTGCACAGGAGCCTGTAATAAGATAATGTTTTCAATTTATAATCTTCTTATGAATCAAGCCAGGTTGAATACTATAGTTACTGGTAATAATCTCACAGTAGTCTGTAAAACCGAGCTAATCGATGATCACCAAAAAATGATATCTTGGCTCAGTTTTCTGTTTGACTCTTGAAATGTGCTGTGTTTTTTTTGGCAGGAAAAGCCAGTCTATACTGAACTGAACAGAGAAAATGAAGAAGAAAAAGGTAACTAGATTTTGATATATGTAATTTTCTAGAACCTACTGAAGCTGATTTTGTGATTAAAGCAAGATGAGCGCTGAGGCCTGCTCGGTGCTTCATAAAGTGCTTTGAGATCAGTTATAAAGAGCACTGCAATATGGAAATACAGAGTATTCTTTCTTATAATGTTTAAAGTTATCTATTGTAAAAGCTGAACAGAAACATAGATTAGTAAATATTTTCAAATTTATGATCTTTTTCATTTGTAGATTTTTAAAATTGTAGCATCCTTCAATGCAATTATATTTAAAGATAGAAATAGAGTAATGTCTTTTTATTTTTTAGTTACATTTAATTTAAACAAAGGAGCAAGTACTTCAATAGCAGCATCTTCTAAAACAAGGTGAGAAAAGAATTTAAGGGCAACCCTTACTGTTGCAAAGCACTTAAATGACAATGATATTTGTATGGGCAGGAAGATGTATCTTGTCCTGAAATATTTGGAGTCTGGTATCTCATCCTGTTATGTTATTCAGGAGGGGATACTAGGTGACTTCGTGGTTCCTTTTGTATTTAAAATGGATGAATGGGTATATCTTAAATGTGTGCTGTGAGGAACCTTCTTGAATTCACTAAGGTTTGTGGCAGATGCCCATGAAGTCATAGGCAGTTCTAGGTTCGTCCGAGGAGATACCGTTATGTGAAAGACTGGATAAGAAATCCAATCACAGCATTTGAAGTGAGTGCCACCCAGTCCCAGCTGCCTTCTGTGAATGGGTATTCATGACTTGTTAATTTTGGTTCCTAAAAGGTTTGATTGCCTTGTGTAATTGGAGGTAATACTTTCTCTGATCATCATTTAAAAAGCTGAATCTACCCGATGTAAGTCTTTCTAAAGCTCATGAATTTAATTGTCATCGTATAACCACAAGCAGCGCAGGACAAAAGGCATCAATAATGCAGACAATACTGACTTATAGCAGTCTGTGAAACTGTTTGATGAGCAGTGCGTCTTTTCATGTGAGGCAATATTGTAATTAAATGTATTGCAGGTAAAACGAAAGCTTTCCACTCATCACAAGCTCAGCTCTTAGATAAGGTATCTGATGGGAGATATGCCAGGCAGAAAATGAGACAACAAAGTAGTTCTTTGCAATAATAGATACAGAATTCATGCTTTGAGGAAAACTTGTAAATTATCCCTAAGCATTGAGTTGTGCTTAAGATGAGTCTGAAACTTATTGCAGATGCTCACTTGAATAGTTTCAGTGAGGAATACTTAAGGTGCTTGCTAAAGTTTGGCTGAATGTGAAATCATATATCAAGTAGTCTAACTTTTTTGTAGCTTATGAGAGATACTTCTCTGTGAGCTTTGTATTGGTAGCATAGAAGCAAAATTAGGATACCCATTTCACAGTAAAGTGACCAGACGGTGGTGTATGTGTCACTGGTGATACAGGAATCACTGCAGAGTTGTATATGGAAATGGCTTCCCTGTGTCAGCAGCATAAAGGTGTGTTCTGCAGCTGTTGGCTGTTACTGAGGATCAGTTGAGTTCAACCTGGTGTCCAGCACCCCAGCACAGCATGCAGTAGGACTTCTGGCTTCCCAACTTCTGTGCTCACAGCACCAGCTACAGAAACCTGGCACTTGTATTTCCTGAGCAGAGTGCAGAAATAGGTCTGGGAATTCATAGGTAGTGGATGGTGGAGTTTTGAGGGCATGGGGATACTGGTGGTTGGGTACTGAGATGGAGTTGGAGCCTTGCTGAGAAGGAGAGTGAGGGGTGGCATGCCTTCCCTTGAACATCCATGTGGCTGATGTGAAGCTAGGAGTCACCGCTGCTGCTGTGAGCATGGCTTCTCATGTGACTTGAGCAAACTGGGAGCCCTGAGCTTACTTTTTTCCCTCAAGAACTTACATCCTCAAATCCCTGCTTAACTCCGTGGACAAGTAAGATTTGAATTACTTCTAATTAAGGAATAAGCAGAAACTATTGTCAAGGTCACTGACTCCTGTCCACGGTACTGCAAGTGTACCAGCATACAGTCCTGTCCCCACACTGATCAGCCTCCATTGTACACGGTTACAGTCTCCCCAGCTCTATAATCCCAAGAGAAGTTCCTTCAAAACTGTTTCCTGTGATGGTTAGGACCTTGTCTGTAATTTCCCAAGTAAATGTAGTCATGGCCAGTTTATACCAGTTGCTCTTATACCGGTATGGGTGTTTAACATAAATAGTTATTTTTCTCCCTGGTGTTTGCTTTCTCAGACAATATATTTATAGAGAACAGTTTTAGCCTCTTAGCTTTCACTGTGCTGCACAAACAGACCTGCATGGTGCTGGCCTCATCTCCCCATTCCCCTGATCCACTGAATATCCCTTCCTTGTCCTTGTTCCAGTTTCAGCTAATCTCGAACAGGGGAGCTGATCAAACATGTGCGTGCTGCGAATGAAATGTCACTGTGGCTTATACAAAGCACTAATGCTTGTCTGTCTTGACGCCTCCTAGGATTGCATTTGTCTCTTTCATGGCTGCTCCACACTGGTAGCTGTCATCTGGGGTTATAGCCAGACTCCTTTCTGCTTTTGTTGCTCTTAAACAGCTCCCAGTAGATAGAAGGTAATCAGACTAAACTTTTCCACAGCGTGTGAGCTTGCATAATGTGCTGTTGAATTTTGTCTTTTTTAAAACAACAGTTTTCAAGATAAACCAGTCTCTTCTGGTGTCCAGTTCTTTCTTGTGTCTTCCACATTGAATGGCACACCTGAACAGTGTTGGTGGTCTCTCACTCTGTCCCAGGGTCCTTAGTGAATATGATAAATAAGATTTGTTTTAGTGTTGACACCCAGGAATCCCTTAGTAACCTCACAGCTAGATGTGTTTTCCTTCTTAAATGTAGGCACTGCAGTTGTTAGGTTTTAATTGTATGTTACTCTTTATAAGATTTTATTTTAAGTACTTGCTATTGGATTTGTGGTTTAATGTGCTTTTTCTTGTAGAATTCTGCTATGGAGATTATCCAGTCTTCCTCTGAAATATAATTATTTTTCCCTCAATTTTGTTTCTACTGCCATTTCTGTATCTTCATTCCTATTTCATATCTTCCCTTTGCTAGTATATCGAATGTCCTCATCACAGGCAGAACATGTGATTTGTTGTAAGGCCATACTAATCTTACCTTACCGTCCACCTCACAGCAACCTTCATCTTTCCAGATGAGAGAACACCTAAATTTTTTTTTGCTGCATTCAAATGTCTTTTATAAAAATGGCTTAACTCAATCTGTGTTTAGGCAGTTCTCGCTTTACCTAGATGTTCCGTGATCCCTGAGATGTATCTTTTTATGCTGATTGCTCTTTTCTTTCATAATTCATAGGCTGTTTGGCTATTTTAAATATAACTGTGAAGATGGTGTTTATTTGCTAGGTGTGGAGCCCTTTTCTGCAGATTCCCATGTATTTCCTCCCCCTGATGGATAGGTTGATTATCTGTGAATGGAGTTCTAGACATCTATCATGTTTAAGAGTTGCTCTGTCCAGGTGGCTTCTCTAAAGCCGTAAGTTTGTCCTTTTGAATTTCAAAACCTTATTTGCAAGACCTGCTTTTGCCTTCTCCATTGAACTCAAGTCCCCGATCAACTCTTTGCTTTTGCACTGGTGAACTGATCATTAAGTTGTTTTCATTCTGCTGGACTGCTAGCAGCAAACGTCAGTGGACATGGAGTTTACACCTCAAGGATATCAGTTCTAGCTGCCCAATGCAGTTCTAGAGAAGGAGGCATGCAGGGTCTGGAAGGTGACTTGCACAACTGAAATTAAATAGATCCGCAGGCCTTTTTTTGCACAATGAGATCTTCATATGCATCTTGATAAAGGAGACAATTTAAGGCCTGCTGTGAAAACACCGTCTTATTCTTCCAGCAGTGCCCTTGGACCGAATGCACTGAAGATGGTGGAAGGGGCAGTTAAAAGAAAAGAATCAGCTCATAGTTCTGGTCAGTCCAAAGAGAAAAAGAAGAAATCTGCACTGGATGAGATTATGGAGGTAATAATCATGCAGGATCTGTGTCTTTATAACTCTATGCCTATGGCAGTGTCCACTTTACTAGGGCATCCCTGTGAAGGGACCTCAGACCTTCAGTTCATGTGGAATTAGGACTTTTCTATCTTCTCAGTCAAAATGATTTCAGTTCCCCATTAAAACTGGTTTCTGCTGCTGATCTGTGCCTATTCCTCAGGCGACTGAGATTTTGGAAGTAAAGGAATACAGATTTTGGAAAAGAAGAAAATATCTAGAAACGCTTGACAAAAACAAATCTAAAATCTCCATCATTTTATCATGGATTCCTCGGTCTCATCAGATTGATTTTTATGCATCAAGCACACACTGACTTACTCTTATTTAGTTTTGGGGTTTTTTTTTATTCCCCGCTTGATGTGGGTCTGGAGAATTGGTTCAGCTTTTCAAAGGCATTGGAAAGCTGCAGTAAAAGGAGGAAGTAAATGGTGATTATTTGTTGTTCTGTAGCTCGAAGAGGAGAAGAAAAGAACGTCTCGAAGAGACTACTGGTTGCAGCCTGTAAGTGTCTTAAAAAATATTATTATACCAAATAACAAGCAATTGTGCATCTCTAAAGCCACTATTGATTTGTGTAAAGATCCAAAAGCAGATTCCAAACTAAATTCACCCTTATTTTCCAAGCTGCTAAATATGAAATATTACAGTATCTGGGAGGAATTACTCTTCTGGTTGAGCATGATCTGCAGGCTGAACATTGTATGCCTGATCTCAGATGGAGCGGAATTCTCTGATTAAGGAGTTGGTACTGTGAATCTCTACAGATGATGTTTAAATCATGAGGTTACTTACAGCCCTCTTCTTTCTGCACTAGTAGCTGGCGTGCACAGAGATGTAGAAGTCAACATCAGCCTTTGAGCTGAGAGACCTCATCTCAGCTTCTACTTACTGACTAGACTTCTAGATCAATAAGTTCTGCCTTTGACCCATTGTGGGCTGTCCCATTATTTCCTGAATTCAAGTGTAACTGTACTTGTAAAACAAACAAACAAAAAGTATCTTGAGAGATACTATGGGGCAATAATTTGAGGATAAATGCAAGTTACTGAACGCCCAGTCTTTACTATTGTTGCTTCCTGTGCTGTGCTGTACAGTGTGTGGTTGGAGTCAGAGCAACCTGAATGTGCAATTAGTTTAGATTGTGTAGTTGTCTGTATGTTTTGGCATTTTATTGTTTTTTCTCCCCTTTCAAATCTTCCAGGAAATCATTGTAAAAATTGTAACAAAAAAGCTTGGAGAGAAGTATCACAAGAAGAAGGCAGTTGTTAAGGTAAACTGCAAATGGAAGCGTGTGGCATTGGTTAGGCTTTTCTGGTATCAGATGACTTCTGAAGTTTTCTTTGATTGTGCAAGTTGTTCAGCCATAAGTCAACACTGATAAGGGCTGAAACGTCACCTTCACTGTATTGGGACTTATTCTGGGCAGGGAGTGAGCTCTGAATTGGTTTAATGTCATTTACTCAGTGATTCTTTGTTAAGCACTGTTTTATCCTCTATAGTTTGTCCCTGTTAACACATCCGTCTTGGAGAACAGTAATTTTCTCACTGTGATATGACCAAGAACAGTGCAATTGCATTTTAATCTCAGACTAGTCAGTTTTGCACTGCTATTTAAGCAGCAGGCTGCCTTTGAGCAAGATACAATTTGTGTACAAAATCTTCAAGCTGTAAACCTTGCTCTGTTGTTCGGAAGTGCTTTCTTCTAGCCACTGCCAGTGAAATGTTGATGTACTAGGTAGTCCAGAGCTCAACAGTATGTGGCAAGAGTGCCAAAGACAACACCCAGGTGTGTTTTGAATGATCGACAAGAGTGTGTAGAGTTCAGAATCACAGCTGGTTTGGGGAGGCATCTGGGAGGGTTTATGAGTCCCAGTGGCTGTCTTCCATTGAGCTCTGAATATGAGAGATGGGACATGGTTTATGCTAGGCGCAAAGATGATCAGTGACATTTTGCCTCATTGAGAGGTAGTATCACAGTTGTCATCGTGTGGCTTCCAGCCAGCTTAGCCTCCCATGGGGGAAAGAAACTTCTAATTTACTCTCCATCTTTGAGAGAACAGCTAAGATAGCTGACTGAAAGGTTGACAAAACCTTCAGACAAGGCCAGCAAAATTAGTGGTCAACTAGTCCGGTCATTGACGTTCAAGAGGAGCCCTTTTAATCCAGCCTTAACTTCAGAGTGGGGCCGGTCAGCAGTTTGTGAAAGCTGAATGCCTTTAGGACAGCTCAGCAGTCCTTGCTGCTTTTGAAAATGTTGAAGTGCAGACTTACAGTCCCAAGTTTGTTAATTTTGAAATGTAAATTTAGATATTTTTTTCTCTCTCTGACTGTCCTCTGCCTTTTGCAACAGGAAGTGATTGACAAATACACAGCAGTTGTGAAGATGATTGATTCTGGAGACAAACTGAAGCTTGATCAGACGCATCTGGAGACTGTAATACCCGCACCAGGTATAGCAGTTTTGTTCGTTTTTCAGCTTAGCTGTCACTGCAAAACTTGTATTTCAGTTCTTTTCAACTATAATTCATCCCCTTGAAAGTACCATAACAAGAGCCACCTTCCTTTTGGGACAGCATTTCGTAAGCTACTCTGATCATGTACCACATATCCTTCTGTTACTTTCTAGGGAGTTACTACATTGCTTCTGCTTTGAGTCTTCAGTCCCTTCTCATAAGAATTAGATTCTTTTCTGAGGAGGTGTAAGTACTTTAGGAATCAGTTCATTTGACAAGATGAAAGCATCTCTCTCCAGCTGCCAGGAAGCATCTCTGGAGCCCTACAGGGCCCTTGGTCATGTTTATCCTGTATCTTCCCTCCAAAGTCATGCCTCAGGTAGCTGTGGGCCCTTGGCAAAGCTTACCTCGTCTCCTGTTTGGTTCACTGGTGTTTCTTTGCCTGGTGCTCGCTAATGTTTGTGTATAGCATCTGACCACTATTTCAGGGAATGGTCAGGGTAGCAGTAAGCAGAACACTGTCAGCGTAGGGGAAATAGGATGTAGGATTTTGGGATTCACACATTCTTCAGCAGACCTGATGTATTCTGCATTTCTGTAGCTGGTGAAGAGCTGGTTGATGGTGTCCATGAGTGCTCTTTAGCATAACGGTACTTGTAGGTGAGTTCTGCCCATCCTTGCACTAGGATCAATGCCCTGAGGGACTGACCGTGTGAGACAGAAGGCAAAAGAGAGGCATGCTGAACCACTGGCACAGGGAATGGGATGTGGGAGAAATAGCTGTGACTTCTTTCCCTGATGCAGTTTCGATGGATTCTGCCCATAGTATCAGTGTAGCTTGGAGCAGTAAACATAGGTGCTATTCAGGATGGATAGGCAGGGCAGGCGAGGTGGAGGTGTTGTAATGGCGAGGTTTGATTGTACAACCGTTACAGTAAGTGATGATGTGGTTGAGAGCCTCTGGGTGAGGATTAGGGGGTGGAAAACAAAGGAGATGTTGTAGTGGATGTCTACTACAATCAGGATGTAAGCAATGATGAGTTCTTCTGTAGGCAATTAGGAGAAATTTCTGGATCAGTAGCCCTTGGCCTTATGGGAGATTTCAGTTTTCCAGACATAACTGGGAATATTGTGCTGCTGACATGAGCAGGTCTTGGAAATTCTTGAAGGTTGTAGGAGATAACTTCTTGTTACTCAGTGAGCCAACTAGGAAGGATGCCCTCCTACACTTGCTGTTTGTGAATAGAGAAGAACTCGTGGGGGCTGTCTTGGCCACAGTGATCATGAAATGG